TGGTATTAGGATATATTTTCATTTTATTCATAAAATAAAGATTTAAGAAAGAAAAAAAAGTATTATATCTAAAGAAAAAAAAGTATTATATCTACAGTAGATAAAAAGCTATTTGACAACACTGAAAACCTATTCTTGATTAAAAGTAAAATGACTCAGTAAAACAGAACCAAACCTACATTTGTTGAACCTGATAAAGTAGATATCAGACTCAAAGACAACATACAATAAAGAAACACTAGAAGCATTCTCACTCAAATCAGGAACAAGTCAAGGATCCCAATAACTATTACTACAATTTAAAATTGTACTTATGTGTAACTGAATTAGACAAGACAAAAATTAACATATGAAAAAAACTAAAGAATAAAACTATGTCAATTTACACTTACTATGACTGAACACCCAGAAAATCGAAGAGAATCAACTGAAGAATTATTACAAACAATGACAAAATGCAGTAAGAGAGTTCAATGAAAATGCAAAGGCCTACAATAGCCAAACAACTTCAAAGAAGTAGTACAAAGCTGGAAGATTAATTCTATCTGATTTCAAGATTTATTATAAATAAAAGTAATCCAGACAATATAGTACTACCTCAAAGACAGACAACTAAATCAAAAGCATAGAAGACAGCATCTAGCAGTAGATCTAGACATGCATCACAACTTATTTTTTATAAAGATGCAAAAGAAATTCAATGAAAAAAAGAACCATCTTTTCAATACCTGGTGAGGAAACAACTGGATATCCATATGCAAAACAAACAAATGATAACCTATCAACAGGCTAAAACAACCCAAATGTCTATGACTATGGAAGAGTTCAATAAATCATGGTACACTGATAAGATGGAAATCTGTGCATCTACAAAAAAAAAAAATACTGAAGGCAATCCATATGTACCAATACTGAGGCCAGGGGACTCAAATTGTTAACTTATAAAAAAAAAAAAGGCAAAGTACAGAAAAGGATGTTAAGAATCACCTCTTGTTGTAGTAACCTATAATGAAAAAGAATATGAAAACAAATATACGTATGTATATGTATGACTGAACGATTATGCTGTACACCAGAAATTGATACAACATCAAAAACTGACTATACTTAAATAAAAAAATAAATAAATAAAAAACAAATTGCCTTTTGGGTAAGAGTGTTAAGAATATAAATAAATGTATTTGCTTACATGTACATAAAGAAATGGTTGATAACTCTTCTGAGAAGATGATACACAGAAAACTATCTACTGTCTGACTTTAAAATTTTGTTAACCATATTTAATTGATTCAAACAATTGTTTTTTAATTAGCCTTCAAATGGTAAATGCAAATAAAATTATAATTTAAGAAATTGCTACCTGTTATTACATTTAGGATGCTGCATTCTAACATCTATGCATTTATATTAAGTTAAAAATTGAACAACTCATTATCCCTTCACTAGTAGGACAGATCAAATTAGACAAAACTGAAGAGCTTATTTAAAGAGCTACGTTAATAAAGTCCTAAAATCAAAGTTATCTTCAAGATTTTATAGACAGAAATGAAATTCTATTATTTTCTACCAAAAAGTGCATTTTCATGGTTGTAGATTTTATTTAAAACTATATAAAAACTAGCCTTCTTCTAAATCAATGAAGCTAGAACACTCCCTTACACCATACACAAAAATAAACTCAAAATGGATCAAAGACTTAAACATAAGACAAGATACAATACACCTCCTAGAAGAAAATACAGGCAAAACATTATCTGACATACATCTCAAAAATGTCCTCCTAGGGCAGTCTACCCAAGCAATAGAAATAAAAGCAAGAATAAACAAATGAGACTTAATGAAACTGACAAGCTTCTGCACAGCAAAGGAAACCATAAGTAAAACACAATGACAACCTATGGAATGGGAGAAAATTTTTGCAAATGAAACTGACAAAGGCTTGATCTCCAGAATATATAAGCAGTTCAAATGACTTAATAAGAAAAAAACAAACAACCCAATCCAAAAATGGGCAGAAGACCTAAATAAGCAATTCTTCAAGGAAGAAATACAAATGATCAATAGGCACATGGAAAAATGTTCAATATCACTAATTATCAGAGAAATGCAAATCAAAACTACAATGAGGTATCACCTCACACCAGTCAGAATGGCCTTCATTCCAAAGTCCACAAACAATACATGCTGGGGAGGCTGTGGAGAAAAGGGAACCCTCCTACACTGCTGGTGGGAATGTAGTTTGGTGCAGCCACTGTGGAAAACAGTATGGAGATTCCTCAAAAGACTAGGAATAGACTTACCATATGACCCAGGAATCCTGCTCCAAGGCATATATTCAGAAGGAGCCCTACTTCAAAAAGTCATGTGCACCCCAATGTTCATAGCAGCATTATTTACAATAGCCAAGACATGGAAACAGTCTAACTGTCCATCAACAGATGACTGGATAAAGAAGATGTGGTATATTTATACAATGGAATATTATTCAGCCATAAAAAACGACAACATAATGCCATTTGCAGCAACATGGATCTTCCTGGAGAATGTCATTCTAAGTGAAGTAAGCCAGAAAGAGAAAGAAAAATACCATATGAGATCACTCATATGTGGAATCTTAAAAAATAAATAAATACAAAACAGAAACAGACTCATAGACACAGAATACAAACTTGTGGTTGCCAAGGGGGCAGGGGGTGGGAAGGGACAGAATGGGGTTTCAAAATTTATAAATACTGACAGGCAAATGTAGAATAGATAAACAAGATTATACTATAAAGCACAGGGAAATATATACAAGACCTTGTGGTAGCTCACAGCGGAAAAAAAAGTGACAATGAATATATGTATGTTCGTGTATAACTGAAAAATTGTGCTCTACACTGGAATTTAACACAACATTGTAAAATGACTATAACTCAATAAAAAATGTTTAAAAAAATTAACTGGAAAAAAAAACTAGCCTTCTTCATAAAAATGATATATACTTCCCTAATAAACATTTTATCATTTGTAATACCACTATTTCACAACTCCCATTAGCAAAGATAAACATAATAAGGTTACAAGACTCAAGTTTTATCTTTCTTTAGTTTTTTTCATACATTAATCTCTACAGCAACAACCTGTCAAGTGTAGCTACTATTCTATAACTGGTGTTACTATGTCTTACCCTTTAGACCATCTCTGCAATACAATGTGCTTCCCCCTCTGTATTCTACAGCTTTATACTTTGGGAAGAGAAATTGAAAACAAAAAATAAGGGTAAAAAGTGAAAAGGTGGGAAAAGGGAACCTATATTTACAATTCCAAATATTAGAACTGCTTAAAAAAAAAGAATATCCAATGATGATTTCAAAGGGGGGATTATATAAGCTAAGTATAAAGGAAAAAAAGTAAGAGCATCATGTTTTTCTAGTGAAAGACTACATGAAGAGTTGCTCTACATAACCACTTCAACTCCCTTAAGGACAGTTTTCTAAGCATTTCTAAGCAGCACTGAGTTAAACTAATAAAACTACCAAGACACAGTTTCTTAAATGCTGAACTTTGAATTATGACAACACAAGCTGTCAAATTCATTTTTTTTAAAACAAATGCAAACTGAAACAATTTGGCTTCTCCCCAACTTTGACACTGTATAATAATTTAGAAAATATTTCTATGAGAGTACATAGCTCCAATAGCAGATTTCCACCAAGGGTATAGCCCATTTTAAGTATTAACATTATCCTCACCCCACCGACTGGGCAGGGCAGAGAAGTGCACAGACTCTTGTAGGCACCCCTATAATATTCCTGCTGCCAAAACAGACACAAAAGGCAAACAGTGAACTATGGGAAGACCATGGCACCAGTCGCATGCCAAGAAGGCATTTATGCAAAATATTAAAGAAAGTAGAAGGATAACTTGGTAGAGAAAAAAAGATAGGCACTCAACAGTGCTGACATTACTGCTAAAATTACATCCAAGAGCTAATACCAAATTGAGTGGACTTGAGCAGAAGCAGTTAAAATACAACAAAAATTTACATCATCTAACATGTGAGATTATACTAGAAAAAAGTTTAAAACTTTTGTAATTGTTTATGTTTCTTTATTTCCTGTATTATTCAATCATAACCACCCCTCCTCCAAAACATAACAATTCCATGGTGGTACATCTTTACTGTCAAATACAATGCAGCAGTTAAATATGGTAGCAAATCTCTTTGCAGGACATGGAAATACCTCCAAGTCATATTGTTAAGTGAAATAGTAAGTCCCATACTAAATAATAATATTTAGCATGATGCATTTTAAGTGTCAAAACAACAAAGATCAATAAAAGACCTTCCATATATATGTATGTGTGTGTATATATATATGTAAATTAATTGTTTAAATAAGACTATGTACCAAACACTATTGACCTTTAGAAGGCCTAATAGGTGATTTTCACTCTATATAATTCTATACTGTTTACAGCTTTTTAAAAAATATAGTATGAACCAACAGCCATGAATCAAAAACTATTATGAGAAATAAGAAAGCAACCCAGTTTATGTTTCCATAACTAAGAATCTTACTAAAATAAAACAGATAAACAAGGACCTACCATATAGTACAGGGAACTATATTCAATATCTTGTAATAACCTATAATGGAAAAGAATCTGAAAAAGAATATATATACACACACATATATACACATATACATACATATATACACTCATCTATATACATACACATATACACACGTGTGTATACACACACACATACAAAAATCACTTTGCTGTACTACCTGAAACTAACACAACATTGTAAATCAACTATATTTCAATTAAAAAAAAAAGCCTTACTAAAGAGCAGACCAGGGAATTATTCATATTTGTCCAAAACAGCACTATATTCAATTCAAGTAATTTCTGGAAAAACCAAGACAAGAAGGCAGCAAAATGTCATTCATAATCCTTTTGCAAGCTGAATTCTGATACATTGTGAAGTGCTAATTAGAAAACTTTACCTTTCTTGAAGCATGGATGTCAAAAAATGGCTTATTTCTGACACTAAATGGTTCCTGTGTCTTGTCAATGAGCCCCGACTTCATTTTTTCATGTCGAGGATTTATTATTTCTCGTTCTATACACTGTAGACGAATATTAAAATCACAATCTCCAACCGGCTGTGCCTGAATTAAACAAAACAATTATTTAAATTTCAACACTAAAAACTATTTTCTCAGCATAATTATCAAAACTGTCACACTGTACATAGCAGTCTATGTAAATAGCATCTTTTGGAGCTGCCCAGTACAAAGCCTGCACAACCACACATGCCAGCCCTGATAACTGGTCCAAAGTTTTCACATCTGAATTAAAGTGTTAATATATTTCACTAATCATTTTTATTATTTTTATGAATTAGTAATCCTCTAATGGAAACTAAAATCCAGGGGGGTAGGTATAGCTCAGTAGTGGTAGAGTGCATGTATAGCATGCACGAGGTCCTAGGTTCCCCAGTACCTCCAGTAAAAAAAAAAAAAAAACAACTAAACCCTAAGATTCATGTAGTTCAGGAAAGTACAAGGAAGCAATACACAAAAATAAGCAACAAAGTCACCTATGATATTTTTTGTTGTTTAAAGTGTTAACACTCCACAGGCATCAAGAAGTAGAAGATATCTATTAGACAAATACATTCTCAAACTCTGAAAACTAATATAGAACAAGGTTTATGTAATATATTTAATTACACAGTTATAGAGAAAGTTCTCTTCTCCCCCATATGTATATATACAGTATATAGATTATGATATACATATACAGCATATATATGGTTTGAACCATGACATAAAAAGCACATGTATGCTTTTGTATGAGTTGAGGGTAGGGGCTTGCCCTCTCCCAATAGTATATACAAATATAGCTATAACACATCATCTGGGTGACATTAATGGTCCAGGTTAGCAGCTTCACCTCAATAGCATATCAAGTACCCTCTTCTTTACCCTACAACTGGATACCCTTCCATGTATTTTCCCCATCTTTTCTGTCTTCTTCCTCTTCTCTAATCTATATTACTCAACCCAACATTTACCCAACCTAATGTTTACAAGGGGGTGGTAACATTTGCTTAATCTGTGAACAATAAATATGCCTCAAGGATGACTTTTTCTCAACTTTGGAAGCATGACAATTTTGATACTTGGCAAAGAATAAAGAGCAAGACAAAGTGAGCAAAAGCTCAGTATGAGGCAGAAAATGTTCCCTTTACATAAAGGCATACAACTGTTTGTAAAGGGTATTTATTGAGGAAATGCTAGTTAGTAAATAACCACACAGTCCATGCACAATCTTTTCCATGTCACCTATGTCATTAACAAGGTTGAAAACCTAAAATGTGAGGCTTATTTATTAGATGAATTCAGACCCCTATAAAATTAAAGTGAAATAAGAAAGCCCTCTTATTTTTTTTTAAGAAATAAAATTAAAAGTCTAGTAACTGTTTAAAAATAGGTAAGTAATCTAAATTCCCTCCTGGATACTTTTCACATTAAAATATACATAAACTCACCAAAACAAGAATACATTGAAAGTAAGTTCACCTTCACATCTCTGCTGCCTATCATAAAGGAAGTTCCTGAGAGATAGGTGTTGAATCACTGAGAACAGACTACAGGAAGCACTCAGTAACTACTGATGAACAGGCCTCCCTGTTTTGAGTTCTTTCTCACTTCAAAACACTATCCACACTACCAGTGGAGTTCTTCAAAACAATAAAGGTATGATCATATCATCACCATAACTAAAACCCTTCAATAGTGTCCTATTATGTACAGAACTAAGTTAAAATGCCTTGTTCAAGTAATCTGGCTGCCTACCCACCAATCCATTTTCATTTCCTGCTATGTCTCACATCTTACCACACATCAAGTACACTAACAACCATCCAACATTCCTGACCTCTAAGACTCAATCCTTCAAAATTAATTTGTGTCACTTCCTTTGTCTGCAGTTCCGTGTTTCAGTGACTCAACTATACTCACGGTAAGCTGGAAAACTCTCTAGTACCTCTCTCATATATTTCTGTATCTCTCATATATCTTTGATATTATACTGAAAGTACCATTATAACTATTTCTTTACATTTACATTCTCATTCATAAGACCAGTGGTCTGCAATTTTCTTTTGATTTTGTATCCAATCTAAACACATATCCTAACAATTGTATATAATACATGCATATTAATTTTAATAAATTGCATACATGTACAACTCTATAATGTTATAAAGCAGACAAAAATTAAATAATAGATTAAGAATAAACAGAAGTTCTCCTATTTTCTTCCTAAATCCCAGTGAACTGTTGTGGAACTGTTGTCCTTCTTTGGAGGTCAATCAACTAAATTATGAACTCCCTGAAGGCAAGAAATTATGTCCTACTCATCTGTGTATACTCAATACCTAGAATAATACTTGACACATAAAAAAATTATCAGTGAAATTCTTGCTGGACAAAATAATAAATTAAGGAACTTAAAAGTTTTAAACTACCATTTCAAAAAAAATTTTCTAATAGTGACCTTGACTTTGTGATTCAAAATAAACAAAGTAGTCAACTATCAATGAAAGCTCCATAGTAAATTTACAAATTAAATTACATGACACTTTCAATTACAAATATACTTTAACATCAGAAAAAAATGTGACTTGGGAGGAGGGAATAGCTCAAGTGATAGAGCACATGCTTACACACATGGTCCTGGGTTCAATCCCCAGTACCTCCTCTAAAAAAAAAAGTAAGAAACCTAATGATCTCCTCTCCCAAAAAAGTAAATTAAAAAAATTAAAAAGAAAAAAATGTGACTTTAACGTCAATGAAATATGGTAGCAGGCACTCAATAAATACTTATTGAATGAATCATTGTAGACCTAGAGATAAGCATAAATGAGTCATTTTTACAGCAATATGTTGATGAATTTCCTAAAGAAGACATAAAAGCACAAACTTTAGGATCTAGTGAGTTTGATTTTACTAAAATGAAAAACAACTGTGCATCAACAGATAATAATTTGGAAAAGATATTGTTTGCCAGATACATAACTAAGGAAGGATTAGAATCCAGAAAAGGTAACTATTAGAAGATTACTTGGACCTGCAATTAAATCACAAAAGAAAAATCCAAACAAGTTCATAAACATGAAATATGCTTAACTTCATTAGTAGTCACAGCAAAGCAAATTAAAACAATCCAACTGGCAAAAATTTTTAAGTCTGATAATACCAACTGTGGTAAAGTGGCACAACTACTTCTGAGGGAAATTTAGCAATACAACAAAATAGCTGAAGTTGCCAGTTTAATCAGAATCCTCATGATGTAGAGATGAGGAACTGAACTTTTTAAAACATTTCCCAAGTTATCACTTCCCAGGAATGAGGACTGTCCTAGAGAAATCTGGACACATATGCACAACAAAAAGTATATAAAATTGTTCTAGGGATATGGGTATAGCTCAGTGGTAGAGCACATACTTAGTATGCACAAGGTTTTGGGTTCAATCTCCAGTACCTTCACTAAAAAGAAAAAGAAAGAAAGAAAGGAAAAAAAAGAAAAAAGTTGCTCCATACAATAATAGTGTAACAACAGCAAAGTATGGAAACTCAAATATCCATCAAAGGGAAAAAAGATAAATTCTGTAAATTTATACAATGTAATATTCAATAGTAATTACAGTGAATGAACTAAACACATGTATTAACACAAATAAATCTCAACAAAATCAGGTGTAGCAAACGTTAGGTACCATAGTACAGTACAACGACATTTATATAATCTGGAAACCTTGCAAAAGAAGATCACATATTTTTCATAGATCTACATATAGCTGGTAAAGATATCAAAAACATTCCTGGGAATAACAAACACCACATTCAGGGTAGAAGCTGCTTCTGGATAAAGGGTCAAGAATAGGATAAGAGAGGTGTGCACAAGAAATTTCTACTGAATCTGCAATGACCTATTTCTTATTAAAAAGACAGTGGAGTAAAAATGACATACTGTTAAACTTCAACAAATCTGGAAGTCAGTACATGAGTATTCCTTATGTTATTCTCTGTATTTTTTGTGTATGCTAAAATTTTTCATATTTTTTTAAAGAATTAGAAAGCTGTTATCTAAGACAAAGTTTCCAGGCTGAGACATGAGCTTGCACTGAACAGTATTAAAGTACAGCTCATTATGAAGAGGCAAAGGAGACAGCGCGCCCCCCTTCTCAAAGAAACAAGGCCACCCCACCCTTTATGTCTCGTTACAAGCCAATGAACATTATTCCAGATCTGTGATAAAGAATAGGTCAATTCTGGAATGCATTGCTTTTGGGGAATATAGTTCTCACAAAGAGAACAAAATTAAAATTTGATGGTTTCTGACCTTGAGTTTCTTAAATTCGAAACTCTGTTTGAAATATAACAAAAAAATGAGATATGTACATGGAAAGTATCCAGTAAAAAGTAATCTGGATTAATGCAATCCTGAATGTTAATACTGCAATTTAAAATGTATATCCCCAAAAAGAGATTTTTTTTTTAATTTTGTTATAAATTTTCAAAACCTTAAAATTTAACACTTCTAATCCCAGAAATCTTAACTGCTTCCAGTCTGTTTGAATACTAAGTAACTGTGTAGTTTGAATAACATATGTCTAGAGGAACGATTACACCTTTTCATGGATATACATACAATATTAAAAAAACTTCCTGCATTTATTTACAGAAGTCATCTTGTACTGTCGAAATAATTTAGACATTTATACTATAATTAAACATTAACAGGCAGACTCTTGGTGAGTCTAAAATTGTACGAAAGGGTAGAGAATATAATTCCTATTTTTTATATCTATTTACAACAGGCAAGTTTATATCCTGTTTTTAAGTTTCCTGCTTGTACTCATTAATAACATATTTGATGTTATACTGTCAACACTCATGGTTTTTGCGTCTTTTTTAAGTGATAAACAGTAATAAAATCTTGAGACTTTTTTTAATTGAGTACAGGATAACTAAAACAGAATTTTTCCATTTTACAAAATGCTATATTATTTGATCACAATTTAACTGTTTTTCTTTACTCATTTGAGGTTCCTAAAGAATCCAAAGACAAAGAAATGTGCAAAATATTAGGCAATAAAGAGAAAAGAAAAGGAGATATAAAAGTATCAAGTAACTTGAAAGAGTCACCATTTTTCTTTCCTACTATTTCTAAGGCAGTAACACTTTTTATTTGTTAAAAACCAATTACCTTGGTGACAATTTTTATTTTATAAGTCATAAAAGGTACTTACATTGAATTTAATTATGTCATATATCAAGTATCTAGGAACGGCCTGTCCATTTACTCTGTCAATAATCATTTCCTTGAAAGAGAAAAGAGGGTAAGTTTATTCATACATTGATAGCAATTTGTTTAGCATGATTAAAATATAACATTCATACAGAAAGCACATAAATTGTAAATATACAACTTGATGAAATTTCAAAGTAAACATACCCACATTCAGATCAAATCAACAGACTGTCAGCACCCCCAAAAATCCCCATCATGAATTTATTCTCTATGGCAATAAAATCATATCATAATATCTCCTTTTTTTTTTATATTTGAATTACTATGATACATTTTATGTTTGAATTACTAAGCAACTATCAGGATGAAGGGACTACAGTTTTTAAATTCCAAGTATCAGGAACATTTTAAAAATTAATTTTGTTAAATCATTATTGCTTCAAGTTTTGTTATATGCCAATTGCTTTAATTATAAAATCCATAGGTATAAACGGTGACCTTATTATAGATAAAACTCCCAAGTGACCTACACGGTCTTTCTTAGTTCCCTATCACTCTACTACAAACAAAGGGAACAGGACAAGAGAATATGATATATCACAGCCATTAAGTGAAAAAAAACTTAAATTCTGCACTCTGACAGAAAAGAGATAAAGGACACTAAAGGATGATTACATGTATAAAATGTAGTATTTTATAAAATTTTAATTCTTAATAATAGGTTTATACCTAAAATTATTTTTCTTTCCTCATATTCTTCCTAGAAAACCAAGCAGTATTCTGTTAACCAATTTCATGACAGAATATCCATACATAACCATCTAAAATTACAAAGAACACACTGATTTAGGACAAATAATTTTATAGTTAAGAAACTATTACCCATGGATTTCTTTCTCAAACATATATTCGTTAAGCTATAGACATTTATTTATGGTTATCATCTTGCATCCAACACTTGATATAAATCACTTGTTATTTTAAACTGTTTACTGACGCAAACTCAGCAGTTATTCTTGTCTTCATTTTTCCCCCTCTTCTGATGAAGAGTAATTAAAATAACAGAACACTCTTTCTGTCTGAAATAAAGGCTAAAGGACTCCATACTGAATTGGACAAATAATCTGAGCACTATTGGAATAAAGTATGGCTTCCAACTAGCTGAAGAAAACACTCACCCAAACAGAACAGACCCCAGAGATTCTAACAAAGACCCCATACCTAGGCTGCATTCTTCCCAACAACCCCTCACCACAATGTCCCCCTTCCCTACAGCTGCCACTATCACCCTAGGTTACAGAAAAAAAGTAGGTAAACATAAACTACCTAAGTCTAAAATTTAGTTAAGAAAACTGGACTGCAGTATTGGTGGGACTATAAAATGGGACAACCACTAGGGGAGAAGTACAACAGTTCTCTCAAAAAAAACAACAATAAAACTACCACAGGACCCAGCAATCCCACTTCTAGGTATATAGACAAAAGAATTAAAATCAATATCCTGAAGAGATATTTGTACAGCCATGTTGATAGCAGCATTATTCCAATAGCTAAGAGGTAGAAGCAACCCAAGTGTCCATCAATAGATAAATGGATAAATAAATATGGCATACACATATAGCAGACTATTACTCAACCTTGAAAAGGAAGGAAATCTATCACATGCTGTAACATGGATAAACCCTGAGGACATTATACTAAGTGAAATAAGCCAGTAACAAAATGACAAATACTATATGATTTCAGTTACATGAGGCATCTACAGTAGTTAAATTCGAAGAAATAGAAACTAGAATGGTGGTTGCCACAGGCCAGGGGTAGTGGGGAGCTGTTTAACTGGTGTAGAGTTTAAGTTTTACAGAACAAAAAAGTTCCAGAGATCTCCTGCACAACAATGTGCATATAGTTACCACTTGGACTGTATCCCTAAAATTGGTTAAGATAGTAAGTTTTATGTTACGTAGTTTTTACCACACTTACAAATAAAAATTAAAAATAAATAAATAAAATCTAGTTAAGAAGTGTAAAACACATTTTCTCTTCTGACCAAACTGGAGAAACAGGACCTAGATTTACCCTCCTGCCTGAAACAACCAAAGATGTGGACAAAATACATGAAGAAATGATCTTCAAGGCACTGGACATCCAGCAACAAAAGACAGTAACCCCTGGAAGACAGTAAATGAACTATATGAGCCCTACAATTGTCCCAGCTTATTGGTCGAGGAGAGTTTCCAGGCTTCAATGCAGGCAGGGGGATCTCAGTAGTCCCTGTAGAGCCCAGCAGTCTCCCTGAATTGAGAACACAAAACAGATGGTCTGGGGAGACCAATGAGGCTAGAGTTTTCTACAGAGTATGAGAGAGAGGGAGAAAGGGTGAGGAAGGGAGGAAGGAAGAGAGAGGGAGAGAGAGGGAGGAAAGGAGGGAAGGGGAGGGAGAAAGAGAGAGAGGGAGAGAGAGAGAAAGAGAGACAGAGAGAGAGAGAGACAGAGAGACAGAGAGACAGAGACAGAGAGACAGAGAGACAGAGAGAGAGAGGTGGCTGCCCAGAGAAAGAACTCCAGAGATCTGCAGATAGACTCCCGTGAATATTCAGCAGAGTATGCATATAAGGAAGCCATTCAGGGCCAGGCAAAGAAGCACCCTCAAAATCTTAGAAAGACCCAAGAAGGTTGGCAACAACGCCTGTTCCCACTAGCCAGATTAGAAACTCTCATAACTCACAGGGCACTGAGTACTTAGAAAGCTCTTGTTTCAGTAGTGGAGAATAATTATCCCTAGACTAAAGACTGCTCTAGTCCATCCAGTAAATCTTTAAAACAAGACTCAAAAGGTACAAACTAGCTGCAAGTAAATTAACTGCATGTCAGAACAAAGATCAAGAATATTAATAGAAACACAAAAATATCAAGCCCTCAACAAGGTAAAATTCAAAATGTCTGGTATCCAATCAAAAATTACCAGGTATGCAAAGAGGCAAAAATATACAACCTATAAAGAGGAGAAAAATCAATCAAATTAGGCCTAAACCTGTGAGAGATGTTAGAGTCAGCAGCCAAGAATATTAGGATGGCTTATTATAACAGTATTCCATACATTCAAAAAGGTAAGTAAGGACAAAGAAGACATAAAAAAGGCTAAAAATGAATTTCCAGAGGTGAAAAATACCATGGTTGAGATGAACAGCAATTTAGACACTGCAGAAGAAAATACCAGTGAACCTGAAGACAAAGGAATAGAAACTATCCAAAACGAAACACAGAAAGGTTGTTTTGTTTTAATGAAAACATTAGTAATTAAATCTTCAAAGGGAGGAAGGGTAGAAATGCACAAAAAAGGTCTACTTTTGATGAAAATTGTACACCCACATTTAAAAGATGCTCAACAAACCCTAAGCATAAGAAACCTGAAGAAAACTACACCAAGGCACATCAATTGCCTATCCCTCAGGAACTTGTCAGAAATTGTATCACCATCTTTTGGCACCCAAATATTGCTATGGAGAAACCTGAAGCTTAAACCCTTCATTATGGGCCCTCCCCTAACAAAGAAAAGAAAGAAAAAAAATTCCTGCATGTTTGACTTTCCTATTCTCTGTACTTTTCTATATTCCATTCCCTTTGGTTGAAGTCCACAGGCATCCAGTGTTCTGCCTATCTATCCAGTATTTCCTGAACCCAAACCATACTATACATTCTTAATTCCTGCAGAAGTTAAGTACATAGTCCCTATCTTCAAGGGACTATGTTGTTGCAGGAAGAGAGGAAAATATGTAAGTAGCTAGGTCCAAGGAAAAGTTATCATTTTAATGATAGACGACCATATAAATAGAACGACCATGTAGCTTATTGTCTAAACCAGGATACTTTTAAGAGTGAAATAGATTACTATTAATAACTATACTAAGACAAAGTATACACCTATACTATTCCAGCCAAATAAGGACATATGGAATAAACTTATAGAGAAGGAAAAGCTATTTCCACTTGAAGAGTAAGAGAAAGGTTTGAAAATAAGGTGAATGATCCATTAGTTGAATCCTGGAAAACATGGTAGATATTTTCTAGGATTGTGGATGAGCCAAATGGTATTAAAAAGGCATGAAAAAAATAACTAAAAGGAAATACATCAAAATGTTAAAATGTAATCTATTCTTGACATCTGTATTTTATAACATACAGGCTTTCTAAAATTTTAACAATAAGCATGCATATTCCTTTAAAAAAATTAATAGTTGAAAAGACATGACATTTTTCCAAAATTTCTGCTATTAACTTTAATGATTAACTGTTATATCCTCCTTTTAGCCTCAGTGTGAAATTGATTGAATTTTCACTAATTTGTTCCAAGTGAATAAATGCCATATTTCTTAACTCCTATTTTCCACATTTTGTGGGTCAAAAAACATAATTTAGAGAGCAAAACAAAAGCTTCAATGCTCACAACTGACAGCCAGACAATTAGGTAGTTTGAGTTATTCTTGGATTTGGAATTTTACAAAAACAATTTGCAAATGAAAATGTAGAAGAAACAGGAAACTACAGAGAACTGTTTTAATTAACTAACTGGAAAAACAGATATGGCAACTATAATCTGGTCCAAGTAAACTGACATCATGAATCATATTGCTATTTTAAAACCTCTTAAGAGTCTATTATGTTGCTCTCAGTTATCCAGGTTTGGGGTGAAAATAATAGTATTGCTAAGTGAAATCTGCAGATTGTTAAATATCTTATTTTTAAGCATTATTTCCTACCTGGAATGCCCTCAGCCCAGGTCCAACAAAAATCTTTCTAAAGAAATCTTCCCATATCTAATGACAACTCCTCTATAAAACATCTTCAGTTCCTAACTAACTAGATGTAATTTATTTCTCCTCTAAACCACCAAAGGACTTGTTTTAAATACCATCCTTCAGATTACTGTTTTATTCACTACCTATCATTCTCCACGACTAGGCAACGAAGTGAATGTCTCAAGAGTGATGCGTTCTCCTCAATCTTCGAGGCAATGCCTGCACTTTTGGCACAGCACATGATAGAAATGATAAACTATACTAAACTTTGGCAAATGCTATTACTTAAGAATCTTTTTCTTCCTTTTATTTTATTAATTACAATGCTTTAAAAAAAAACTATCTTAAATAAAATGAAGGTAACAAAAATCAGAACAAATGTTCTTGCTGTTCCCATGAACTACCTACCAGAGCTACTGTACTGGCTATGCAGTTAACCTAAAGCACAACTCCAGGGGTGCCAGTCACAACAACTACAGTGAGAATGGACTACAGTGGACAATCTCTCCAACCTTATGCAGTGGCTCCATCAACCACAAGGGTGTGTGTGTGTGTGCACACAGCACGCACCTACACACACACACAAACACACCCAAATATTTAAAAGTTTACATATATAAAAAGTTTACAAAATGATATTTTACTACACACACTGTCACAGGAAAAAATTTACTAGTAGCCCCTAGTATAGATAACTCTTTGTGACTTGATCATTACTCTTTGCTCAGTCTCTGTTTGCCAATCAGTCTCATTCAACTATACTACCTTCTTTCCTCTTTCTACTCTCTAGTACCTGGCTGGCTATAATCTTCCCCTCTACCTGGACTCCTGTCATCACTCATTATGATCCATCTAAACTTTTCCTTGAGCTCATTTCCACTGCTCTTCTCCACACAACCTCAAACTCACTCTCTCTAGGCCACATCCTGAACCTTCTCATCCCCCAAAACTATACCTCAGAAGTGACTAATTCAAACATCCCATTCTCCAATCACAGTCTTCCATCTTCTGGCTTGCACACTCCAATAGTTAGCTGGTAAATTTTTTAAAAAGCACATAGGATAGGGGCAACAAGCATTCAGGTCAACTCTGTTAAACAAATAAATACATATTTTATGCATGTGGTTTTCATTAGGATAATTCTTTCATTAAGAGTTTAAGTGAACATTCGCAAGCTACTCCCTATCATCCCCATATCTGTTGATATAAATCAGAAATAGAGAAGCAAATTTCATCTTGATTAAGACAGGAAGTGTTCTCATATGAATTTCAGAAAATATTAGCCAGATAAAATTCAACCCACCTCGGGAAAAAGGTTCAATGTTGAAAAAGTGAAGAAATGTTAAAGAACATGAGTAGTATCCTTGTAGAAAAGAGACCTAAAGTTGTAGGAAGTTATAAGAAAGATGTAGAGTCCCTTTTCCCTCCAAAGAAAAACCGTGAAGGTGTAGCAGAGAGATAAACCATATCACCAAACAGCAAACAGAAAGGAAAATGGTCTGGAGACAAGCTTACCAGAGATCTCTCTGCAGAGAGAAATACAAGCTTCTTGTTGTACAGATCTGCACATAAAGTGTAACACACTAATTCAGCCTAACTTCTCAATCAAATAGCCTTGCTCATCCAAAAGCTAAAAAAAGAGAGCAAATTCTAAGTGACAAACTTCAGAACAGCCAGGAGACTGGGTGCCCTTGGATTATCAGACATTAAGACGTATGCGAAAGTTAGAGCATTTAAATCAACCTAAAACTACCACTGGAAGACCAAGATATTAATGAAATGGGAAAGCAAATCAAGAAACAAACAATGAGATAAGAGAATTCTTATTACAATAAAAATGATATATCTAATTAAAAAGGAAAGATAGGTTAGCTGAATGGTGCTGAGGCAACATTTTAGACATCTGGAAATAAAACTGTGTCCCTATCTCATTTCTTTTATCAAAATGTACTGTAGACAGATCAAATATTTAAATATACAAATGAAACCATAAACGTATTAGAAGGAAATACAGCTACGTATTATGATAATTCTAAGGTAAAAAAATCTTTTTTAATGACACAAAAACCAAATATCAAAAAACAAGGTCTATATAATTTACCTACATAAATTTAAACTTGTGCCACAACAAAAAACAGAAAAAGTGAAAATACATTTATTTCAAAATGTGTCATAAATACCCCAACAGACAAAAACTTCTCATAAGTCAGTAAGAAAAAGATAAACACCCAATAGAAAAATGTATAAAAGATTTGAATGAGCAACTCACAGAAGAAATACAGTAACTCTAAACTGTGCTAAATACACTAATAAAGAAATGAAAAAATGTTAAACCTCCTTAACAATTCACATAAATGCAAATTAAAAGAGGTAAATACATTATTTCACTATGTGCCAGACACTATTACCAGCACTTTAAAAACTATCTGACTTAATCTTCACAACAGCATCAAGAACTAAGTACTATTATTAGTCTAACTTCACTACAGATGAGGAAACTGAGTAAATGATTTAAGGGTGCTCATGTGATAACTGAAGAAGCCAGTAAGGCACCATCAGTTAGAGTTAGGGCTCTTAACCACTGTGCTCTATTGTCCCTTAACATGAGAAAGTCATCCCTTTCCTCATCAAATCAGAAGGTTTTAAATTTTCAAACCCAGTGTTTAAGACAATGTACAGATCATTTACATACAGCTGGCAGAACTGTATATGTGTTCAAATTTTCTGGAAAGAAGGGTGGCAATTATACATGTCAGTGTTCAATATGGGCATGTCCTCCAATCCAGCCCAGTGAACACTGAGCAGTATAGCCTGTTACTGTCCCTTCCCTGGTAACACTACTCCTCTTGCACTCCAGGTGGTCCTGCTACCAGAGTTGCTGGCCTCCACTGTCACTCTTCGAGAGGTACAAAACTCAGGCAAGACCCTGTGGAATCTTCCCTGGGATTGATAAATTGATATCGGGAGAAAAGTTTCCCTTCCTGCTTGGGTTGCAAAGCAGCTTGCTTCCCACATGGAAAAAGCCTTCATGAAGAGGAGGAAAGACAGACAAGTAAAGCAAAGAAAGAGAGAAAGACAGAGCCTGGCCAATATCATTCGAGCCTCCAGATCCAGCCTGAAGCAGGCCAAGCCGAAATCGAATTATTTGTGCCAATTTAGTTCTTTTTTTTCCCTCAGTTACTTTAAGTTGGAGTTCAGTTACTTATATTTAAAAGACTCTTAAATACACATTACAATCTTACTTCTAAGAATCTTAATTATAAAACTGCACAGTTGTGAAAGGAAAAAGTATTAAGGCTATGCATTCAAGTGTCTTACAATAGAAAAAAATACAAAAAAAAATCCAAATGTCCACCAAAAGAGGACTGGCTAAATAAATCATAGAATTGTTTCTCAAATTGATTAGAATTACTTGGGCACTTATTAAAAATACAGATACCATGGCCCCTGAGACAATCTAATTCATTAATTAGGTCTAGGATAGGCTATTGGGATAGGTCGTTCATGTCTTTAACAAGTATCCTCTATAATTTTCAAGATATTTCAATCAAGATAGTTTGGAAACCCCAAATTCCAGTGTTTACATACACAGTGGTCTATCATTCAGACTTTAATGTGTAAAAGGTCCAAAACATATTGATAAATGAAAAAAAAAGTTACAAAACACATGTAACATTCAGCTCTTTTCACATAAAATTATGTAACTATCCATGTGTGTACATATTTGACCAAAGCACTCATTTTCAACCAGGGCAGAGGTACCTGTATTCAGAATCTATGCCATGAGTTGCTATTACTAATATGAATGTGAACCCCTCAGGAACAGATGTAAGATTGAACATTTCAGCACTGAGGAAAGTCTGGAATAATATTCTTCAAAATGGTAACAGAATTTACTCCAACTGTAGGAGTTCAGGTGATTTTTGCCAGCTTTGTTTATAATATTCTATGTTATTTTAATTTTTATTTACAATGAACCAATATTTTTAGAATTAGGGAGAAGAAAGCAGTTTGCATGGCAGAAAGCTAAAACATTTTTAATCAAGTAATTTTATAATTATTAAATATAGATTTTCTGAATGGGAAAACTCTCACCAGCTTTCAAAATTCAAATGGAAAAGTACAGTGGTTGCTTTTAAAGGCACGATTCTCTTTCAACAAGAACTATTAGTCCATATAGCTGAAGAACCAAGGGAAAATGTGACATGTCATATCACATAATTAAAATTCAATTGACAAACTAACAACAATATAAAATGTTTTATTCAATAAGAATCATTTTTTTCAATCACACAAAAAAAATTAATATTTAATTTTCTTTGCTTACTCTGTATCTAAGACAATGATCAAGTGACAGTAAGCGCAGGTAAGAGATAAATGAAATTTAACAACCTAATAAAAAAACTAGGTTCAATTTTTTGTCAATTACACATCAATAAAAAAACTTTCTTAAAAAACTAGATTTGATTTGAAATTTAATTAATAAAATTATGTCTAATTAATAAAAATACACATTTACTTGCACAAAGAAAGCAAAACAGTAATGTTTAATTTTTTTTAAAGATAAAATATAACTTACCCCATCTAAGAGAGTATTTGATAAATGTATACGAAGGTCTTTACGAAATGGAAATTCCAGATTTGAAACATGAAACACTGAATTATCTCTATCAATCATAAAAACTTCATTTGTGCCATCAATCAACATCATATACCTGTAAATGAAACATTAAAAAGGTAATACTGCCAGAAAGAGAAGGAAAAATGCCATGATATTTATAGGTAGAATCTAAAAAAAAGGACACAAGTGAACTACTTATTATTTATAACTTAGATGACTGACTTCTTAAATATGTGTAAGCACATTTGACTGTCCTTTCTGACTGGATTACTGCATTCTGTTGATTCTTATTTTGTGGCTGGCTTTATTCCTTTGATAACTATGTAAGTTTAAAAATCTAAAGCTCTAAACTGTTCTTAGAAACAAAGAACAGTACATATATGTAAATTTTAAAAATACATGTACAGTATACTGTATATATGTATTTACATGTAATGTATTGTATATGTGCAAATTGTACACATTCTACCTAATAAAACTGAAAAATGAAAAATAAGTAATGCTAGCAGTATAATTCAAGAACCAGGTTGTAAGAAATAACAGTTAAATTGTATTTCCTTAGATTTTCAACAGCTTCCTGGAATAATGTTCACCAGAGTATCCCCCCTCCACCATCATGCAGATTAAAGTACCACAAATAACAAATATTCTTTTTTTTTAAGTCTTTGTTTCCTATTTTAAAACACAGGATACAGAGAAATCAAATCTTTTCACAGAGACAATGTGATGTTCAAGAGCAACCTTATATAACCCAACTTAGGAGAGAACAGTTCTCTAATTTTTATTAGATCTTAAACATAGAAGTTTACAAAACACATATACATGCAATTACTGCACTTCATTGGTCCAACAACTATACAAATTAGGTATTACTCTACTTTGCAGTAGAAAAAAAGAAAGTAATTTTCAAATGGCCAGCCCTCAAAGTATCCAATGTTCCTTCTCTTACAACTGAGCAGAACAGCTAATTCCTTTTTTGAATTAATATCATGATATAACCATGCATCACCATTTCAGGTACAATTCCCACTCACTGCTATAAAATTAAAATATTTTTAAACACAAGCTCATGAGCATTTTTATTAGCCAATCAATAGATGGGGAAATTTATAAACTTGAAAATGCGTCATTCTTCAAATAGCCAAGTTACCATCACTGATTCCCAATCAGTGGATCACCAAAAATGGAACTCTGCTTCACATCATATATAAAGTCCAGACGGATTCAACTTGAGGAAATTACAGACCAACAGGCTATACTACCAAGCAGATAACAGCAAGATTTGGGGTGAAAATGGAGACTATATCCAGGTACCATCCTCTTCAAGGAATGAGAAAATTCGACAGCAATAAATTAAGAAGTTAAGAGGCATGAGCCTCAAAGGAACAGAACAATCATTGTGTTAAGTTGTTTTGTTTGTTGTTAAATGAAACGGTGGAAGAATAATAGTCTGGATGTACCCCTGGGAATGGAGGAGCATGCTGACTGGTCTCTCTAATCTCCTACCCAGGAGGTATGTCAGAAAGAAAAGAAGCAGCGACTAAAAGACGGAGCTGAATCAAGTTAAAGCCAGGGGACAGAAGAAATGCTCAACGAAGAGATGGAAGCTAATGTAATGCAGTACTTAGTGGCTAACATATTGGAGGGTAATTTGTTTCCCATAAACATGTGTTCAAAAAAGCAAAGAGAGATGTTCAGGATAGGTGAGGAGAAATGGGAGGGCTGATTAAGGTAAAAGAAGCATGTGTCAACAGGCTGAAGAGCAGCAAGGCAAACCAAACAGGCTGACATTTAGAGACTGGACTGGAAGCCTGCTGTTACCAGTGTTTCAAAATAATTAGTCCCAGCAGGCCCCGGGGGAGGAGGTGGAGAACTCAGGCCTTTACTACACACTGAAAGAGCTGTAGCCCTAGGAGACAGGGATGGTGGAGACTCAGGTTCACTCAGAAAAAGAAAATCAGCCTCAGTCTGGACTGCTGTGCATCTGAGAGACTCCAGGACCAACTGCCAGGCTAGCAGGCTGGCAGACAATGGGAATACTTAGTTCCCAAAACCTTCCTGCACGTGCTTTCCAAAAGCAGCAATTTCCAGTAGACAGGGAGGATCTAGGCTTCTTGGAAGACGTCAACCTTGCACTGGGTTGTGTTTCAAAGAGAATTTAAATCAATACAAGAATAGGTCAAATAAAAAAGCACTGTGATACATTCTGCAACAATGGTACTGAAGGCACAATCCATCATGTTGTTTAAGGGCCTAGGCCAGCATTCTGCAAAGCTTTTTATTTACTTTTAGCATTTCAAGGCAAAATTAATTAGGGAAACACTGTATCTTTCTCTCGGAAAGTCAAGATACATACCAGAAACATTTAAGGTTATAAGAAAACATAAAAGGAGTCACCCAGTTTTCCTGGGTCTCTTCCATGTATACAGGAGATTATACATTAAACTTTTTCTCCAGTTAAAAAAAAAATATATATATATATACAGTAAGTCTGTTTATCTTATTTAGCTCATTATTTACTACACTTAATCCTGATATCTGTTAATATTCAGCAGAATTAGTGTTCTATATTTATAATTTGAGAAAAGATGACTTACGCTAATAAATTTTAGAATTCAGAAAAAATAAACGTTTACCTCTTTTGATCATATGATGAAGCCAGAAATTACATTTTTCTTTTCACTGGCTGCCCAGAAGCTCAGAATTAAATATAATGTTCAAATAGAATAAGTATTAAATCCCAGGGTGCTGGTACATTTGCTTTTCCTGTCATAATTATTCTGTATTCATTTTTTAACACACTTATTTGATATATATGTATGTATATGTATCTTACTATCAGACGTTTCTTTTTACTTCAGATGGAATATTTATTAATAGGAAATACTGTCTGCATACACTTATGTGTAAACAGATTTAAAAGACCAAGGAAGAGAAGGCTTTAGAAGATGGAATTCACTATAAAGGATTGCTCATGGGAAACACAGCTTACATCTGCAGAGATACAAGAGAAATTATTTAGCAGTTGGTATTTAGGGATTCTTCTGCACATATCAATTTTTCAACTTTGAAACAAAAGTTTCTGGGATGTGATTTTTGGTTTGAACTCCAGACATTCCAAATCACAAGTTCTTTTGTTAAGTGATACTCATGAAAAATGAGGAACTAATTTCATGTTAGGGAAGGAAAGTAAGGCATGTGGAAATATTTTCATATCACTCCAAAGTCTCTGGATGAATAGAATCTTTAAAAAAAAAGGAAATCATCCCGTATGCTTTCAGATGCTGGCTTAGTATATAATTATGGTTCTACCTGCAGTGGACGTGGATCACTAGTGTAATATAATTTCCTATTAATTATGAAACTACCTCAACTGCAAACTTCATATTCAGAATTACTAAATTATCTGTATTCTATCCATCCTCATTAAAAGACAAATATTAATTCAGAAGTTTCACTGAATTAGAGAACACTGATTGACTTTTTATACTAAAGTATATATACCAAAGCCATATAGAAAAGCCAAATTTATAAACTGCTTTACTCTAAATGCTGGTTTTCCAGCTTAACTAGAAACCATCTTTTGGGGCAGTCACTGAGATGTAAGGTAGCTAATTGAGTAAAACCACTGATTTTACATTAATACAATTTAGGAAGTATATAATAAAAGAAAACTGGTAAAAAAAAATTGATAACTAATAGCATCTTAGAGTCCTAATTCACATTCCTAAGAGTAAAATAGTCTTTAAGCATCTTATAATTTAAATTTATCACCAATACTCATTATTGAAATATTCATTAATAAGGGAAGAGATTCATAATATATTAAATGAAGAAAAAGCAAGTTAAAAATCAGACTGTATAATTATGAGGAATAGGGAGATAAAACTTTGTATCTATAATAAAATAGACAGGAAAGCCTATACCAAAGGATTAAGAATTATCTCTATGTGGAATTATCAATGATATTTGCTTTCCTCACTATACTTTTTTTGTACTCTAAGAAATTTTAGAAACAAGCATAAACAGCCTTTTCAAGGATGACTTCCAAGCTTCTGGCAGGAGAAACTGGGTGCACTTTATTTACTGAGCCACAGAGCACTGGAGGAGGAAGAAGTACTTGCTCAGTTTAGTTGGGGAGAAATGACAAATAGGCTACAGACATGGATCTTTTCATTTTTACATTGGAAACCAACAGTCCCAGATTTTTTCCATCCCTGTCTCTAGCAGGTTCGAAATAGGCTCAGGATCTAAGTCAGACAATCAAATACTCCATACCCAAAACTTTTAACTTGCGTGACAGTGGGGCACAGGAGTAGCTGAAAAATTATTCAGAGCACCAGCAGAGGCATCGTCAGCAAGTGTCAATGGTGGCTTCCAACTCAAAGTGCTCCTGTGTCTGACCTTGGCTCTGGTCCTCGCTGCCTGGCTTCCCGGGATTCTTATCCATTTTCCGAGACTAGTTCTCTTGACAGCCTTCATTTATATAACATATATATTCCTTTATACCTTTGCTTAAATTAGCCAAAGTTGATTTCTACTGCTTGCAGTCAATGTAATGCTAATGGATATGCTGGTTGTATTTTTTTTTCCCCATTTTGCCCACCACCTGCAGCTCAACTCAAGTAAGTTAAATGTGCCTATGACATAATCCCACTGTAATGTCCCTCAAAATATCCTCAATACCAAAAGTTACATAATACTAGCTCTTTACATAGTAACTTCATACCAAGAGATATGCCATCTATTTCCTGTCCTTCAACAGAGATAAGTGTATAATGTTAAGCCCGGAGTTTACTTGCCCTTTGTATCTTTTCTCTCATGAGAATTCACTGCCAAACCTCTACTGTTCCTATACCAGCTACAGTTTCTCTCATTCCTATTCCAAACATAATTGGTACACAGTCCCTGAAACCTCATTCTCGAGACTGTAGAGATATACAGAAATAAATTCAGGTCCATTAAAATTTCCTATAAAGAAAATTCACGGTTTAGAGCCACTTCCTCAGATACAATTATAAACCTTTCTGACATAAGAGCAGTTGGTTGGACTCTGCCCCCTACCCACCAACACCTGGCAGACCTTACTTCACA